CCTCCTGAGCAGTTTCCTCGAGCCCCTCTTTCTCTGCTTTCTTTGATCTTCTACCAACATGCGCCAGCTTCCATGGCTTTCCCAGGTTCCCTCGCTCCAGTGCCCTGAACTGCTTGTTCGGATCTCTGGTTTCAGCCCCTTCATGAAGTTCCCTTCTAAGGCTGACTCTGAGAATGTGAATCCAGATCGCTAGCCAATACTCGAATCTGTCCCGATAGTCAGTCACACGGTCCCTCCGAGTCAGAGCAAAAATTGCTCATAGAAGTCTCTCCCCCATCGGCTCGGAAACGCTCTAAAAACAATCCTTGAACTCTCTCCAGTTTCATGATAGGTCCTCTCCTGTCTCTCCACTGATACCAGGCCAAACGCCTTCCCTTCCCAGACCAACCTGCCGGCTTGCTTTCTCATCATCTGTCAACTCCGTTGACTGCAAAGTAACCTCCAACTTTTAGAATCCAAACATGGACGTCTTTCCCCTCGAAGCACGGCATTTCATTCCTCACCCTAGGTTCTCTCCCGGTACTCCTCATAACCTCCCATTCCTCGAAGAAGGAAGATCCCTCCCAAGTTCCCGTCAACCTTTCCCATCCGACGAATTGGTAATCCTAGTTCAGTCGCACTCTTCTTCCTTTCGGACTCACCTGACGCTATCCTTAAAATCAACACCTCGATCGACGTCTCGCTTTTTCAAAACAGCCCACCTCGACGGCTAAGATACTCTTCATCTCACTTCTCATTGGCATGGAACTTCTATCCCTCCGCCTGCCTTCCAAATCACTCAGACGCTGAGGATCTTATCGCACCTCTGCGATTGACTCCTCTTCGACCAAATCAGCACCCGTCGGTTAATTTCCCTATGTCATCCCTTCTCTAGAAAGACGGTGCTTAGAGGTCGGCCATTGTCGTTCGTCTTCCCTTCAGATCTCCAACCTACCGAATTCTCCTCCCCCATTGGGTTTCGGATTTCCTCCTAGTCGCTGGCCGTCGAGTGGTCTCCTCTCACTCCGATGCCGTGTCCGGATGGTTTCATTCTCAGATTAATTTCTTCATCATTTCTTCCTCCGCGAATTCCCCTTCCAAACCTTTCATTGTTGGGAGTGATTGATGAAATTCGTATGAATCTTCCCTCCAACGGACTTTCAATTGACCAACCCTTCCAAAACTTCCCACCTTCTTTCGGCCGATCGTTCTTCTAACGGATGCCCAAAAATCTTTTCCGGAAGCGATAGAATCGATTCATGAAATTTCAAATTTCAGCCATCCGGATGTCCCAGAATCGAGCTCTGATACTAATTTGTATAGAGGCTGATCAAAGCAACCCTTCCAGGTCGATTACTACTGAACACAGCAAATGCGCACAGCAGGAAAACAGTGATTGGCTGCTGTCACAGCAGGAAAAACATGCAGCTTTAAAACATTGTTAACGACAGAATCACGAGATTGAAAGACTCAAGAAAGACTTGGTATTCCACTTAAAGATAATGAATAGAAGCAAGATAACATTGATCCTCAATTCGAGAGGGAGGGATCGATCTCTTCCCAAATCTCTGAGACGCCAGCAGAGGCCCAAAAGAAAATCCTAAATCTAAAAGAGATATCTCAAATTTCAGCCAAATTCAAGAACTGCCAAACCCTAGGAAAATCAACTACTTTAATTGCATACAAATCAAAAGGAATTCCTAAAACGTCCTACATTCAACATTTCTCTCTGAAACCCCCCAAATCTTCTAAAACGATCTATATGAGCAGTCGCCGCTCGTTTGGCGGAAAACCGCCTGTCTGCGATTCAACCGGTGACCGGTCCGCCTGGACCGGCTTGGACCGGTCCAGTGGACCGGTCTAACAATCTGTTAATATGCAAACACCAACCAGCAATATAAGCAAATGTATATAGTGCAAATCTGTGGTGATATGCTTAATTGCATTTAGTGATACGTACAACTTGCAAACAAAAACACTATTTTCTCATGGGTATTGAAATTCAAAGCATAATGAATATAACAAATTATCAATCGACATGCATGGATACGATTAATGCTACATCTTCCTTTAATTCTCCTATGAAAGATATTTATCTTAATCATGCTCATTCAGAACAATTGCAATGATGAGGGGTATCTATAAGTGAAACATGAAAGCTATATAAACGAATGTGGTAGCATCCCTACCATTTGTAACCTTCCAATATCAAGCAAAGGCATCTTTCTGCTATGGACAAAAGGATCTATCACATAATGAACATAATGACTGATGTGGATATATTAAACAACGCCCCACGCTCAACCTCAATGCATATGCAAAAACCTATAACAATTGTCAGGGTGCTCATACAGCCTGCAATAATATGGTGGAAAGTAATTGTATTTATCCCCTACAAGCAGATGGGTTTGACATGCAAGAAATACAACAACATTTCTACAATTAACACCAATCCACGAGACTTCTACGAGCCATGGCGAGTAGCAAATAATGATTGCAAAGATGTCTTCGCAGTCAACCTGTGAATGAGGACAATCATGAAATCAAATGCTACCAAGAGGATTCAGCTTGCAGTAGAAGCAATAGTGTGATACATCAGAATGCATTCAAGTGAACGTTAAAACACGATGTATTGTGCTAACTAGAGTTAATGATCAATATTTGACAAATGTGCTATTAAAAATTAATGCAAAGTTAGGCGTCCTAAACTCATAATTACAAGTATAAAATACACCTGTTATTCCAACCATCTCAAAGATTGCAACAATTATTTTAGTAATGGATGCCTCGCATAGTTGTCCTAGACAGTTTGGTGTACTTTCAATCACTGTAGTTTTTAGTTCAAGGTAGTGCTACTGATTTCGAAGTATAAGACATCAGTGAGGACGCAATCATCTATAAGGTTGAAATGATTGATTCTTTATTTAAGCCAACAGCAGAAAATGATGATGGCGGTAAAGGCTTGAAGCCTACGAAAAATCTGATCTTTTGTCGATAAGTTGATATAGTCGATAAGGTTCAATTTATAAATGCAATTGCCCGTTAACACTCCGATGATGCTCTTGTTGAACATAGATCTCAACCGAAGAGGTTAATTCCAAATATTTTCAAATGCCACTGAAATTTTCAAAAGATTCAAAAATCAAATGTCCAAAATTTCGAGAAAATTTCAAAATAAAAAATAATTAAAATTGAAATAAACTCATCAAATACTTAAAGAAAAATCCAAAGTTTGACGGGTAGACAAATATAAAAATAATTTCAATTTACAATGTGCTAATGTCTGGTCGAGAATATCACTAGGATTCATTCTCAAACAATCTCCTACTAGTAAGGAAGTGGCACGCGTCATCTAACTGACGATTTTGCAATCAAAAGACACTGCAGGTAAAGTGTTTTGATCGGGGCCCACTGAATCGGGTGGTTTGTCGCCAAATGACATCGCTAAATTACGGTCATGGCCAGAGCCCGTATGCTCTCCAATGACATCAAATCTTTGAGATATGAATCAATATGATATAATCGATAGGCCACAAAGCCCTATGTTAGCTAAGGTGGATTCAAATTTATCCCCTTAGAAAAATATACATCTCAGGTCTATATGATACCCTTGGACGATGCATTCCATAGCTGCCACATTGATCCTTCTGTCTAGTTGGGTCGACTACCTCCTCTATCTATGTAGACTAGGGACCACGATGGTCCGGGACGACAGACCATAGGATCTTGATCGGGTCCATCATCCATTCCCCAACAATCCTCTTTAAGTACAAACTATTGAAATTTCTAATTTTAAATATCAAACCTCCAAGTATCAATCCATGCTGCTACTATACGCCAGATACACATATCTTCTATGTATCTGATTGACGACCTCAAGGTTGGGAGGATGAGTTTCAGATTTCAAGAATTTTGCTTAAGGTTATAAACAATCGACATGTTGAGTACTTCATAGAAAATCTAGAAAGCTAATCATGGAAACCTTTTAGTTGTTGGAAAAGCATTTAGAAAACATAAACCTTGTCTTTGTGAACGATCAGGCACACCGAGGAGACGATGTTGGCTTCTTTCTTCGCGACCGAGCATAACGAACAACGGAGAGTCGGAGAACAACGGAGAGTCGGAGACGGTGATGGTTTCGGCGCTCCGCAGGCCGTCGTGGAAGATGATAGGTCGCGAATGATGGTTTTTTTTGTCTGGCTTCTTGCTTCACGACCGAGCAGAACGAACGAGTGTTTATTTCCTATTTATCGCATACGCTTCCCTCTCGAAATCTCGGCCGTTCGATTTGGCTAATCGGCACATTAGCCGAATCGGCCGGTTATCTAAAATCGGAACCGGTTTTCCGGTTCGGCGGTTCGACCGCCGGTTCGGGCGGTTCGACGCCGGATTTCAGCAAAACAGGTTTTATATTGGACCGGAACCGGCCGGCCGGCCGGTTCGCGGTTCAACCGGTTGAACCGGCCGGTCCGGTCCGGTTTTAAAAGCCTTGGTTGTAACACTTATTAAACCAAAACTTGGATAATTTGAGAGGATTATACATGGAAAAAGTCAAAGATTAACTTTGTTCAAAATAAAATTCGAGCAAAATTATATCTAATATCCCAACTTGTCGAGGGCAAGTCCCTCAACAACAACAACAACATCAAGCCTTTATCCCACTATGTGGGGTCGGCTACATGAATTTTTTT